CCCAGAAACAAGCGATTTTAAATCGTCATATACCAACAGTTTGTGGATATGCATCTTATGTTTAAAAACATGTGCTTTGGGGGGTCAGAAGATACAGTTGTTTTTATTAAACCAATATAAAGCAACTATGATGTTGTCTGATCAGTTCAATTCAGGCTGATCATGTTGAAAATATCTTCATTTTTATTTTACCTACACATTCAAAGCTAGCTTGTTTATCAAAGATTTACTTACGTGAACTTGAGAAGTGTCTGGAATGTGTACGAGTGCTCGCACTTACCTCTAAACCAAGCTGAACTCCTGAAGGGCTGTACAGGGGACGCATCACACACATACACACACACACACACACACACACACACACACACACGCACAGACCTGTGAGGGGTCTTCAAATTATTCATCAAAAATATGCATTATGGGAAAATCTGTGCATGTACTTTGAATTTTTTGCAGAAAAATAAATTCACATTTAAATTTCATGTTCCAGTAACCTTTCAAAGCTTTTTTGTATATACATGTACAAACAAAAGATCTTACAGGTTTTTTCTTTTTGTTAAGGTTCTTGTCATAGGGTGTGTGCGCTCGCTGGAGAGAGACAGAGAGGTACCCCACAGAGGGGATAACCATGCCGCAATCCCTCCTGCTCTGCTCCTGGGCATCTGGGTGGGCACTCATGTGGCCTGGTAAGTTTTCAAGCAGCAGGGTCTAGGGCTTGAACCACCAGTGGGCTATGTGGGATCCAGCTCCATTAACCACCACACCTCCTGGCTGGCTCCTATAAGTCTAGCTTTTACTCTGTACTTTTTCTTCATTTTTTTTTCCCCTTCAGTTTCAAGTAACGTAAGAGTTAACTGAGATGTTTACAAGTTAGTCAAAACTGGCTGAATCTGATAAAGAAAAATAGTTTGCAAGCAGCCTCGAATCTCATTTTATCTTAAAACAACGAGTGAGTGGGGAAGAAAAACATCTAGATTCAATTGTGGGGAACCAGCAGTTAGCGTAATGGCTATGTCGCTGGACTCCCACGTAGTCGACCGCGGTTCACGTCCCGGACCCGGTGGCTTAAAACTCACGCCGGGCGCGTGTGCGTGCGTGCCCAAGATCCCGAGAGGAGAATGGAGGAGAAGGGATTGCGGCGTGACCATCCCCCCTGGGGGGTGATTTCTCGCTTTCTGTCTCTATGTCTCTCTCTGTCTGTCTGGCGAGCGCACGCGCCCTACAGTGAAAATCTCTCCAAAAAAAAAAGATTCAATCGTGGAGGAGAAAAGAAAACAAGAGAGATTCACAGAGAACTGAGTTTTTAACTTACCAGAAAACACATGTCTATGGACACAGGATCACAACTGCAACTTAAATTGACCAATCTGCCAATATTATCCCAAAATCTGCAGTGATAAGAAAAGGTTCCCTCATCACACACACGTGGACAAATGAGAGACAAGCAAAGCTTCTCCAGATTAAGCCTCCCACATGGGAGAGGCAAGTATGGAGTCGACAGGTCATTCCCCTCACCACTATTACCGCAGAAGTGACTCACAAGATTCCAGATGGCTTTTTAAAAGCCCAGAGTGGAGACCAGCAGTTAGCACAATGGCTGTCTCTGGACTCCCATGTAGTCAGTCGTGGTTCGAGTCCCGGACTCAGTGGCTTAAACTCATGCCAGGTGCATGTGTGTGCCCAAGATCTTGAGAGGAGAATGGAGGAGAAGCGATTGCGGTGTGGCCATCTCCCCAGGGGGTGATTTCTTGCTTTCTCTCTCTCTGTCTTTCTGGTGAGCACGTGCCCCTATAGCAAAAAAAAAAAAAAAAAAAAAAAAAGCACAGAGTGGGCTGGTCCCATGACCTGTGGATAAGGGAGCAGACCCTACTTGGCCAACTACATGGTTCGAAATCTGACCCCAGGAGCTTGAAACACAGACACTTATGCATATATGCCTAAAACCTCAACAAGATGGGCAACTGGAGACTGAGGCAAGACCTTGCTCCACTGGGAGGACCTTGTCCCTCTCCCTTTGTCTCTGGCAAGCTCATGTGGCCTCTGGCAATTAAAAGAAAAAAAAAAAGCCCAGAGTGGTCCTAGAAGGTACACATGGCTTAAAAGAACTAGAAACAGGGGTCCGAACTGCACTGTCAGAGCCCTACCTGGCTCGGCACTGGGCTGAACCTGTGCTCTTCTGTTACAGACTTGGTGAGCCAGCCAGCAGTCCTGTTGGGTCAAGACTGTCAGCTTGTTCCAGGTGCTCATTCCTTCCCATCATTCTCAAAAGTGAAAGAAGCCTGGGCAGGCAGAGGAGGAAATAAAATGTAGTGTTGGCAGCTGCCTGGAACTCTGCCTAAAAACCACTGCTCTGGGGCCAACTCACCACGCACAGCAGACGCCTCCAAACGATCACAGTCCAGGGCTTAGCAACAGAGACCCAAGAATCTACCCCTGGCTGGCTCGCCAAATCTATAACCAGATCAGCAACAGGCCCAGCCGGATGAGCAAACCAAAGTTCAGCTACCCATCCCTCAAAAGCCAGCACTCCAGACAATGTTGGCAGAAAGGAACTTACAAGGAAACTGGTGACCTGGGAAGATGGGGAGCTCATGCTCAAAGGCTGTCTCCAAACCACAGGCACGAGTAGGGAGTTTTAAAGAGAAAAGACAAAGAGGGAAGTGGGGCACTACCACTGTGTTCTGCACAGCCACACGGAGACTTGCTGGCACCAGAGCTGCTGTGCACAGGGTCACTTTGCCCTTAAGGCCAGCATCTTTCCTTTCTGCGTCCTTAGACACATCAGATCTCTTGGTGGTTTCAAGGCCCAGTTCTGAGAGAACTACAGCAAAGCTATAGTTTACTTTTAGCTACAAATTAAACAAGGTGAGTTAACGAAGAGGACTAAACCATCTTGAAGGGTCAGGCTGTAATGTCACACTTTGCAGTGTTACTTCGGTTCCTTCTTGTCGCTCACACAGAAAATGACAAGGGCATGGAGGACACTGCACCCTACCAGAATCGGCTGCTGCTGGCCAATTCCGAGCCACCTTGAGCACCAAAGTAGTGACACTAAGAGGTGAGGACTGGACTAAACAACTCCGAGGGCCAGCCAGTGGCGCGGTAGGTAAGGTGCTGGATCTCACATGGCCGGCTCCACAGGTCAAGTCCCAGAGCTGACTGGAAAAACACGATAGGTATGTGTGTGTGGATGCCCAAAATTCCAGTAGGAGAGGGAATGGAGAAAGGACTGTGACATGAGCATTCCCCGTGGCAGGGAGGGGGTGCTCTGTCTGTATGAGCAAATGTTTCCTCTGGCAGAAAAATAAATAAATAAACCCACACTGACATAAATGAACAGGATAGAGAGAAGTGCTCTAAATATGCAGAGTTCAGACTAATCACACAGGATGATAAAAGTAAAAAATCATATGTATCTGGTGTTATAAAAGATCCTCCTGCAAAATGCTGATGTTTCTATGGAGAAGCATGACAGGTAGACTGTTTTACCAAGTAAAACGTCCCCTCCCTGGGAGGGAAGCCCAGTGGTGAAGCTCCCGATGCACGGCAGTGCACGCGGCACCGCCCCTGGGAGGGAAGCCCAGTGGTGAAGCTCCTGATACACGGCAGTGCACGCGGCACCGCCCCTGCAGTGCTCGTCAGCAATGCATCGCAGAGGGCATCGGTCAGGCCCAAACTGAAGACCGCCCCGCAAAGCGTCGCACCTGTAATTCCCACAGTGGTTTCGGTCACAGAAAAACTGGGAACTGCTCGGGCCTGGAATGAATTCAACAGACAAGACAGCCAAAGGTCACTGTGTCGCTGACTGCAGAGGAGGGACATTCCTGAGTGACTGGCCCAATGGGTGAACTTGCTGTCCAGGGGTGACCGTTTATCCGTGTTCCTGTAGACACTGCGGTCAGTCAGACGGCCTTTGTTTTAGGAAGACAATCAGGTATCGCGAGATAATGGAACATGACTGCAGCTTACTCTCACGTGTTCAGGAGAAAACACAGACATGCAGAGAAACCAAATGCTAGCGGATGGGTGGTGGGGCCGTGGTAACACAACTGGACTCACACACTGATAGGTCCTGGGTTCACGTCTCAGGGCTTCTCTCAGAATGCCACTATGCCCATGATGACCTGGCTGGGCCGGGGGTGGATCTTGGCATGGCAAGACCCTGGGGAGGGTACCTCTTTCTTCCAAAAATAAAAACCCACTTTATTTAAAAAATAATTACTTACTTAATTTTATTTATTGTTATTTTCAATTTGACTAGAGAGAGACAGGGAGAGAGAGAGAGAGAGTGAAAGTGGGAAAGCAGCCTGCCAGGTCTGGGACTCAAACTGTGGTCAGCCACGTGGGAGTCCAGCACCTTAACCACCACACCATCTGCCAACCCCAAAACAACCTACTTTAAAAGGAAAAATTCTACTGCCTATGAAATAGGATTAACCTGAGAATTCAATGAAAGACAGCTCTTTATATTGTTGGATTTGAAAGTATTTTAAACAAAGACTCAGGGAAAAAAGCCAACCACATGCAACGTGTGTGTGTCTACAGACTAATTTTAAAACTATGAGATAAACAGGTCAACATACGCACTAAGTTACTTAGTATAAGAGAATGCTCATGGCTCTGGTATGCAGGTGCTGAAGATGGTTCTGGAAAAAGAAAATGGCTTCCTATCACTGGACAGCCCAGTGATGACTCGGTACGATGTCTGGGATTCACTTCGATCAACAGCACGGAGCTGAGTGGGGGCTGGGGCAGCGGTAAGCGCAGGTCGTGACAACAACCACTGATGTGAGGCAGCAGGCACCGAGCTCACAGCGGTGCTCCACCTCTGCGTCCTGGGACAGGATCTCTGGACAGCTGACGACGTACACCCAACAGCAATCTTCGTGTTGGGATTACTCTCACTCAGTGAGCACTGTAAGGAATCTGTAATCCTAACACTTCTATTTAGCCAAAGTAAGTTTTTGTCTCACAAGAGCAAACCCATCTGCACAAACGGATTATCATTAATAAGTCTTTATTTAAACATTCCAAGGATCCCAAACCCCATTTAAAAATAAAAATGGCAAAGCACTTAATTCAGTAAGATCACATAAAACCCCCTTACTAGTATCAAATCCATAACGCTGCCTTATTCTGAGAAAGTTTGTTTGACCTTTTATTACAAAGGCACAGAAGTCGTCTGAGGCCTCAGATCGTTAAATTAGTCCCACTGCATTTCTAGTGTCACACTGCTGATGTGCCACTCGGGGCAATTGTTAAAGCTCATAATACCGTCCCCCAAGAACTCCTAAGGAGGTAGACATCCCTTCAACACATACAGTTTTAAAAACGCAGGCCCTTAAGACCAATACAGGCATACCAAAGGGACCTGAAATTTCTGCAAGGGCAGTTGTGTTTGACAGAAGTATGACTTTAACGGTGAGTCTATTACCAGCAACAGACACACTAGACACAGCTTTGCCAGAGAAACAGTAAAATGAGCAGTAATTTCTAAGATGCTAAAAAAATATCTTTCTGTGAGCTCAATACGGAGGCAGTACTGACCACTGCTAGGCTCCTCCCGGCCTCCCATCAGCGTTCCGTATATAACATGTACTTGACAGGTTCCAAGTCCTAGATTTGGTGTGAGCCACCAAGGACCAAGGCCGAGGCCAGCTCACATGTGCCACATGCCGGCCGCCTTACCGGGGCGGGTCGGCCCCAGCAGAATCACAGCACGTCGTCCCGTCCAGGCCGTCGGCCTCTCCTGTTCTCTGCTCCCCACTCAGCTCCACCTCCTCTGGTCTCTGCTCCTCAGTCAGCTCGGCCTCTTCCGGTCTCTGCTCCTCAGTCAGCTCATTCTCTGGCTGCTCGGAGCTGGCCGCATTGGCATTTGTTAGAATAACCCCTTCTTTCTTCTTTTCTCCCAACACCTCTAGCCCCATCATCCTGAGATAATGAAGCCGTTCATTCTTGGGCACAAAAGTTCGAATTGAGGCCTTTCCCCGCCATCCACATAACACAATGGGACATTGCAGAGCATCTGGGTTCCTGCCAATAAAAAACGGCGTCATGTAAATATAAAACAGTTTCATCATTGCTATCAAATACTACGCAACCTCTTGAAAAGGGAAAGACAAACCCAACAAATTAACACAAAAACTCCAAAACAACAGGAAGGACGTTTCTTTCCGTCTGTGACCCTATGATGGACTCTCAAAGGAAGGCTGGCTTTCTTCACTCTGAGTACGACCACTTCCTCTGCCTAGCCAGTTTATTCCTCTGAAGGCTCCCAATGGAATAACCCCAACCCTGTACTTCCATGCTAAGATTTCCAGGAGCTTCCTTCTCAGACGTGAAGTCGCGTCTGTGCCACCCTGGCCTACTGAACGAGGCGGGGTTCTTCACATGCTCATCAGAGCTCACATCTTCAGATGAACAAACTGACGCTCCTCACAGAGTGGGTGACTCTGCCCCAAAAACGCCAACCAGTGGATGGCAGAGCCACGTCTGAGACCCCACGGTCTACTTTTTCCACACTCAAGGCCTCACCTGGAGTGGTTTCCAGAGGCCCTGCCTCACACTCCTCACCCCACTGCGTGTGCTGTGCTCATGCAGAGCCACGTCTGAGACCCCACGGTCTACTTTTTCCACACTCAAGGCCTCACCTGGAGTGGTTTCCAGAAGCCCTCCTCACACTCCTCACCCCACTGTGTGTGCCGTGCTCATGAGCTTCCAGCATGGTCATCGGTGTGCAGAACACTCGTACCTCAGGGAACCTGCTCGACCCCACTTCACTGTCCCCACGTAAGGTATCTGCCCAACTGTTCGTCCGGGTGGCGCAGCTCCCTTCCTCAGCTGGAACGGTGCTGCTGCTGAGTTCCACGCTGCCCCTGCCAAGGAGGCGGCATAGCGGGGTAACGTCTCTCATGGGCGGCTAGATCTAGCTTTTAGGCTCCTGAAGGCCCCCGTAAAATGTGTCTATGTGCCAAAGCTACCTTCTGCTCAACATCAGTGACACAGGCTCAGGGAGGGACAGAGGACTTCAATATTTGTAGAAAAGAGAAAAAGGAAAGGGTCTGCTCCAAGATGAGAAATACAACTACTAAGAAGTGGGACCCCCAACTCTGCTCCTCAGCTGTTTTCACCCACGTACTTCAGTTCCTAGAAACCGGTGTTTACATGTGGGACCGTGAGCCACCTCTGAAGACGACCGCTTGTCATCCAAGCTGTCCTGTAACCACCCTCGCAGCGCGGGCAGCCCTTGCTGTCTCGGCCTCCATGCCCAGGCACCGGCCCCATCCGTCCTCTCCCTGCCCAACTGCCCTCCCACTACGAGGCACCTCGGCCGTGGGAACACCGCAGCCATCCACGGCGGCCCTCTACTGCCGCAGCCCGTAGCACACAGCCGGCCTTCCATCGCCCACTCGTCCCAGCTGCCCTGCCCGGCATGCCCGCTCCTCCTCCCGTCCTAGCACGCGTGTCCAGCTCCGAGACGCCCACTCTAGGCCTGCTCCCGCCTCCCTGACTGCTCCACCTGCTGCCTTTCCCTCCTCAAAGGCTGCCCTACCCTGGGGCGGGAGCCCACATTTCCTCTTCATCCACTGTCTTTTATCTCGGCACACCCCACGGCTCTCTGGGATCTACACGCTGTGGACCCCAAATGTTTAGCATTGGGGCTTCCTCCTCCTGCACTCCCAGCCCTTCTGTCCAGCTGCCTTCCCCAAGGTCTCTTACTGCACAGCCATTTCCAACTCAGTAGTCACAGGTTGCTCACAAAAGGACACATCCTGACAAATGGGTCCCTCGGCAGAGCGGCCGTGTCATCACCAGCATCCCCTTACACATGCCTGGGCACACTTAGGCTGTGGCATTGCCCGCCATCACTGCTGTGTATGTGGCCTGCCACGGGCCTCGTGTCATGTTACTGTGGCTGGTGGCTGGTTCTTCCAATTCCCATCTTAGGAGATGATGTCTGCTCAACCCTGAAACCTGGGAACCTTCACTGTGTTCCCATCCCCGTGACCCGCACTCTGTGGTCTGAACCACATCCCATCAGACCCTGCACCGCCCCCTCCCGCCCCCCAGTCCCATCATCTGTACGCGCCTCCCAGCTGGTCTGCTGTCCCACTCGGCCTCGCACCCTCCCGGCCCTCATGTGTGCACACACTCGCTGCTACAGCCCTCTCTCCACACAGCAGTCGAGGAGCCGGCCGGAAACCTGAGGACCTGCAAGCACCAGCCAGGTAGGGGCTCGGGGCTGGCCTGGCAGCTCTCCTTCCCCCCAGGTGTGTCCGCCTGGAGGGCTGTCCTCTGCTGGTCCTTCTCCCTCGAGATCTCTGCTCCAGTGCTAACCCTAAGAACCCTGCACCACGGCGCCACCCAGCCCTGTGCCCCTTGCAGCCCTCCTCCTGGAAATGGTGCTCCACTTTACAGAGGGGGCTGCAAGGCAGGTGCCAATCCTGTTCTCAGGGCCAGCAGCGGGCCTAGTCCTGCTTGTTCCCACACTAGCGAGCACTGCCAGTACCACACCCACTTCTTCAAGCGCCCCTGCAGCGACTGCTAAGTGGGAGCTGTGATGGGCTAGGCACCCTGTTTTTGCTGGCCCCGGAGTACCTGATGCCTAACGGCAATCAAATTGCACCGGCTAGACCCATGGTGAAGAACTCACCAGACTTTGCTACCCAGCCTGTGCCTGTATGCTGTGTGAGGGTGTGCGTTTCACTTTCGGTAAATAAAGTTACATCTGGCCTGAGCTGGACATTCTATAAAAATACCTTCAGCATGATCTACAAGGATGTTTCGGTCCTGAAGTATTCTCGCTGTTAACAGGCAACATTCACGAAAGGCTCCCAAAGTCAGGAGGGGGTCACTCCCACATGACCCCTTCCTTACCAAAGGAGCACACTACACAGCTAACAGGGAGGGCACGTTGCACGACACAATGGGTGTGACTTACGCAGAATCCGGTTCATACTTCAGCACGACACTTCCCTTTGCTAGAAGAGAAACAGACACCGGTTTGCCATGCACCCGGGAGGACCCCCGTGAATGCATCCCCGTGCCCAGGAAGGACCCCTTGTCAGCACGTCCCTGCACCCAGGGAGGATCCACTGTGAACACGTCCCCGCGCCCAGGGAGGATCCACTGTGAACGTGTCCCCACACCCAGGGAGGATACACTGTGAACGCATCCCTGCACCCAGGGAGGATCCACTGTGAACGCGTCCCCGCACCCAGGGAAGATCGACTGTGAACACATCCCCTCACCCAGGGAGGATCCACTGTGAACACGTCCCTGCACCCAGGGAGGATCCACTGTGAATGCGTCCCTGCACCCAGGGAGGATCCACTGTGAACCCGTCCCTGTGCCCGGGGGGGGAGCCCCTGTGAGCATGGCCCCGTGCCTGAAGGATACCCCGTGAGCATGCTCCTGTGCCCAGAGTCATGATATGTGGCTCATCTACGTCTGTCCTCAACGACCCAGGTGGAGAAGAGGCCTGAACCCAGGGCTGACTTGCAGTGAGGCGAGAGGAACAGGACTACGGCGAGCCCACGGGGTCAAGGTGGAGCTGCCAGTCCCTCTCAGAAGCAAGCAGGCTGGGATCTACTAAAGGTTAATTCTCAAAATTTAAGATGAATAAATTATAACCCAACTCCCATCAACAGCATGAAGTAACACAAAGAAATCGTCAAACACAACCCCTCAGCCACTGAAATGTAGCATTCAAAGCAAAAAAGGAAACCAACAGTGCCCTATCCTTTAAAGGACTCTGCTTTAAACTGTGGTTGTGGCCTGGGAGGCAGCAGGAGGCGGCGGCCAGGCAGCATGTCCTGCGCCCTGTAGCCCTCAGTACGCAGCACAGCCGTGCCACTGCAACAGCAGGTCCGTCCAGCTTCCGTCACACTGGGCCACAATTGGACCTCAAGTTATAGGAAAAAAAACAAGAACAAAAACACTTTATACTAGCTTGCTGAAATTATTTTTAGGCTTAGGGGAAAATGTCCTAGAGGGACTGAAGTACAAGCTGATGAAATGTAAAAACCAAGATGCAACCAATCGCCCACTCTGGCTGGTGAGCTACCGGAGAAGGCTGGCCGACTCGAGAGCTCTCTCTGCTCTAAAGAGGTCGGTTACAAGGGCCACATGAGTGGAGCCCTCCTGCTAGCTGGTACCGGGGCCGCCCAACACAGATGAGCCACGCCCGAGGGCCCTGCTCCCTCAGGCCTCTCGGCTACAGCAGAGGACAAGGACGGAGGGGCAAGGGCTGCGGCCGGCGAGCTTGCCAGGGCTGCTCACACAGGCCAGACCTCCACGGACCCCAACTGCAAATTGCCGCCAAACATACTCAAGAGCAGGTTACAAGAAACCCTGGCACTCAGGGCACCCCAGGGGCTCACCAGGTCTCTGGGAAGTAAAGCAACCCCACCACAATTCCTTTACTCTTTAGCACTTAGATTTACTTAGGTTTCTGTTTCCTGGCGGCTTAAAAAGCATGCCAGGCATACATGCATGTCCCAAACCCTGACAAAGTGGAGAGACGGGGGAAAGGACGGTGGCCTGACCACAGCGCACTGGGGGAGGGGTACCTGTCTCTGGCATGCACACCTAACAGCAATTAGGAAAACAGACAAACCCGAAGTCCTCTCGACATCAATACAGCTGGTAGAAACAAAGCCACAGTGTTTTGGAACTTATAACCGAGAAATGCAAGTGAAAGCAGACATTCCTGTATCTCTATCATCTTTTTTTTTTTAATTCAGAGATTTTTGGCTTAGGGCACATGTGCTCATGGGGAGGAGGGAAGACACTGACTGGGAAAGTGATAAATCACCCCCTAGGGGGCATGGCCATGCCACAATCCCTTCTCCCTTCTCCTCCTGGGATTTTGGGCACACATGTACATATGCCCAGTGTGAGTTTCAAACCACCAGGTCTGGGACTCAAACCACAGTCGACCAGGTGGAAGTCCAATGACATAACCACTATGTGATCTGCTGGCCCCTCTACCATGACAACACAAGTGACGGTTCTGTGCCATTAAAACAGCTTACCCAGGTCCTTGACTTGACTGTATGCTTCACTGCTGAGTTTTCTAAAAAATGGATTTTCCTGGGTCAACAGTATCTTAACGTCTTCCATCGATACAGTAATAATTCTTGAGTTAATAAATGGATAGAGTGTATATATTCCCTGTGGGAGTAGACAGCAAGACCAGCCTGAGCCACTCAGGGACAACCACCGCCAGAGCTCCTGGGGGCTGTCCGTGCATGCAGTCCCAGTGCACCCTCCACATCCCCTTCCCCAGAAGGGCTTGGCGACCTGTAAGGCTCGCTCAGCCGGTAGGCGCCCTGTCCTCCCCATCCCCTCCCCACTGCTCCCCACTTATTCGTGGAGGTGTCATGTAAGTCTGCTTCCCAGATTACCTCTTGTGCCAGCCGGAAAGCACAGTCAAACTCTTCACCACTGTTATTCCGACACCAGACCTTGATACCCGTGTTAATAACCTGTACGTGAAAATGCGGTGAAACATTCATGCAGCTAAATGCCGGCAGCTGAGGAAAGCAACCCCTCAACCATGAGGAGGGGAGGCTGTCCGTGAGCAGCTGCCAGAAGGGAAAAGTGAGGGGAACGACCACCTCTGAGCTGTCCGACCACGCCAGGGCTCCAAGAACTGAGTGTCACTCGCTGGTGGCGTGGCTCACAGTGACAAAGAATGACCACAACAAAAACGAAGACTGGGAAACAAAAATAACTGAGTCATGGGTTCCATGTCTGTCAAGGGCAAGGATACAGTCACATGACCCCTGGCAATACCCAGTGGACACCAGAGAGAGAGGGGGAAGGACCGAAGATATCCCAGTACTGCTGCAGAGACACTGACTGCACACCACAGCGCACGCCTGGGGATGCGCTGCACTCAACGAGCAGGCAGGGGAAGACGTGCGTGGGGAGGGGCTTGGAAACGGCCGCATCCTGAGGACACTGCGTGTACACAGCCGTGAGGGCTGCAGGAGCAGCAGCAGTCCAGCCCTCCCAGAAGGACAGCAGCAGGACGCCAGCCACTGCCGCACACGAGCAGGACAGGCACCAGGACTCGCACCCCAAATAAACCAAGTGGGTGTGAAACCTGCACGCGGCCCGCAAACCTCCGCCAGGGCCAGCGGTCTGTACCTTCATCCTCTCACTATTATTGAGCAGCACGTTTCTCAGTTCCTTGGAAACCATGTAGAGTTGCCTTTTCTTCCCTTCTGTAGTCCGAGTTAACAAATTCATCTTTGGGAATGAAGGATCCAATGCATAAAATTTCCTATAGACAAAACAGCGCTGTGTATGAGAGCGGCTCCAGGTCAGGTGGACCCCGACACCTCACTTACTCCCACACAGAACGCAGTTCCCAGAGCACAGGGTGTAAGGGCCTCCAGGTCAGGTGGACCCCGACACCTCACTTACTCCCACACAGAATGCAGTTCCCAGAGCACAGGGTGTAAGGGCCTCCAGGTCAGGTGGACCCCGACACCTCACTTACTCCCACACAGAACGCAGTTCCCAGAGCACGGGGTGTAAGGGCCTTCGGCTCTACCCTGGACTCTCGCAGCCTACGCAACGCTTACATGGGGCAACCCTGGACCCGGGCCTACACTAACAAGCACAGCCCCCTGCCACCTGCTACTCCAGTGACCACGCCTATGAACACCTAGGCTGCCACTGAAACTTTCAAGAGATTTTTACAAATTATGCAAAGGATCATTACTCAAAAGACAATGAGAGAGGGCACTCCAGTAAATGCACATGGAACCTCAGTTAGCAGGCAAACTCAAGGCTGCTACGCCAAGCGTTGCCTCTGTTCTGCCCACATCATTCCAAATCAGGGTCTCCCCAGCCCTCAGCCCTGCAATTCTTCACCTCCTAACAGGGAGCTGAACAGGCAGCCTTCGCCACCATCTCCCCAGCAGACCGAGGGATTCACATCAGTACAGGGCTGGAAGTTTTCCCAGTGAGCGTCGTTACCTTGGGGCAGTCTAACTTCATCTTAAACTGAAAAGTCGAGTAACAACCTCAACAGTTCCCTCCTGCTCTCACATGCAGATAAAAAGAAAAAAAACAAACAGAAGAAAATGCTACACACAGCTACATGCAGAAGTATGTTACTGAGAGTGACCAGCGGTTTATCACTCGATTTTTCTGTAAGAATTAAAAAGGCTGAACTGTCCTTACTCAATAGGTGGAAACAATGGGTCATCTTCAGGAATGAATACAAATGGATCTTCTTTAAATCCAAATAACTTCATTTTCTTTGACGGAGGAGGGCTGAGAAGAAAAAGGAGATACACGGGGTTGTAAGCACACCGCCCCCACTCAGTACCACGCCGTGCTCCTCCCTGCCCCTCGACCCCACCCCAGTTCTGCCACACACGTGTCCTCGTGCCAGAACGAAGGTGCAAAGCCTCCAGGGCTTCAGAGTGCAGCCAGCACGCTGCTCATACGGAAAGCAAACGTGTGCTCGCTCGGAAACCCAGCCATGCAAAACCCCTGTGGGAGTGGCTCTGCCACCCTGTTACCCACGAGGGCTGAGAAGACGCTAGATCACCAGATCAATACAGACCCTTTTTCTTACCCACACACGCCATCTTTCTTATTTCCATTATTCTCTACATTCTCAGTTGTTTGAATTACTTCTGTGTCGTCAGTTTCAGGGACTGACTGACCTTCCAGCTCAGAGGGGTCTGGGGGCTTCCCCTCTGCCAGGTCCGCAGGGCCCGACCGGGCAGCTTCTCTGGCCTGTGCAGATCGACCCTGCAGCTGGGAGAGAACAGGCGATGGCTGTGCGCTCTACAGGCACCTGGGAAGGCCGAGCTCACGGCACCACCGGGGCCTTCTACAGCAGCATCTTTAAGAGGACAGTTTTCTGAAGGTATGACCTGAAATCTGCCATGACAGACAGAACTCATTTATGACACGTAGTTTAAACTGATTTGAGCACAATCCCACAAACAGCCAGGGACACCAGCTCCTTTCATCTGAAAACACCCACTGTGCACCAGCTCTGCTAGAAAGGCACAGACGGGTCAAAGACAGTCCCTGGGCGGTAAGGCGGGTGAGGGCAAAAGGACAGCAAGAGCAACAGTGGAGCTCCAGGGGAGGAAGGCGGGAACTGCCCCAGGGCGCCTGGACAAAGTGTGTGGGGGGGGAGGCAGGAGAGAGATGGATGGAGTACTCCTCCAGGCACCCCAGGACTGGGGAAAATCAGCTGAAGAATTCGGAACTAAGGCAATCAATACAGTTTAAAGATGACTTTGATAATGAATAACTTGTTTGACTTAAAACCTTTAAAGAAGAGCTAGCAAGCAACATGGTGGCTAAGGTGCTAGACTCCCACATGGCTGACCATGGCGCGAGTCCCAGACCTGGCAGTCTGAACACCACACCAGGTGCATGTGCGTACATGTCCACAACCCCCTCTCTGTATCTCTCCCAGCAGTGCACACTCCCTGTGCAAAAACCTAAAACCAAAAACAATAAATAGCCTTTAAAGAGTGTGTTTCCTGTGCTGGGACACACGAGGAATCACCGAGTGAAGTGGCCGCTGTCCACGGGGAGGGGCGGCAACCTTACATGCCCTCCCCCGGCCCACAGTGCTGGTGAGCACATGCCCTCTAACAAAGAATCAAATAAGTAAATAAAAAAGTACCACGTCCTTTCTAACAGTTCAGAAGAATGGTAAAAGTAATTCTACTTTCTATAAAGTAAATTCACAAATTAGGATTATTTCTACAAACATGAGTTCCACATTTTGCCTCAAGTCAGAGACAACACAGGAGAGCCGGCCCGACTGGCTCACAGCCTCAGTTTCGGCAGCACGGGCAGCACGGCCTCCCGGAGTGCAGGCTATGTGGATGGAAAGTTACAGACAGAACTTATCTCAAGCTGCACATCTCAAAACATAGCCTCTCTTTTTCAGAGCCTGTCTCAAACTGCCCGTTCTCTGCAACGCTGTCCATCCCACCTCCATGCCCTGACCTGCCTCCCTCGGGACGGCAGCAGTGCCCTGTCGGGGTGGTCCCACCCCAGTCCAGCTGTGTGTTTCTCCACATCCCAGGACTGCAGCGTCCCGACAGCTCAGACTCCTCCTGAGTCACCGCACGGCCCCGCAGCCAAGTCAGGCTAGCACACGGGGCAGACGGCCACAGCCCAACTGTGGAACTAACTGAACAGGGTCTGACATGATGACAGGGAGGGACAGAAGTGATACTGCACATGATGCCAGGTGTCCCCGAGTGAGACAGGACACCAGGAGCAAACCGAAGGAAAGGTGGAAACCCATCTTCACAGACACTGATGATGACAAAGTGCCAATATAACCCCAAATGCAAGCAAGCCCCAGCTCCCTCACTGGAGGCAGGCTCCAGCCTGCACCGTGGACACCGCAGTCGCTGGCCACATGCATTACTGACCGTGTGAGTGTGACCAGTGCGAAGGAGAAGGGCCTTTAGTCTCAAACACAGGCTACTGTTGAAGCTCAGGAGGAAAATATGCAAAATAGCTCAGTAACTGCTGGTTCACGTGAGAATGTCATGTAAAGGGGATTAGTGAACAATGTTACTAAAACTATTTACTTTCCCTGATGTGGCTCCTGGAAAACGGAAATGCACCAGATGGCTGGAATCCTACTCCCAGGAGCGGGAGCCCCCGGCACTGACCCTGCAAAGGGAGCATGGGGTTGAGAAGCGAGGCCACGTGGACCCCGCACTCTGCAGAGCTGACAGCCACACCCCGTGCCTGGCTGGAACCACGCGTCGCAGTGCTGGTCTGGACTGGCGGGTCCCAGAGAACTGCTGGAGCCCCCGAGCAGCTGTGTCCTTTGTTTTTCAAGTGCACCTTGTCCTGATTTCCAAGGATGAACCTTAAAGACATACTAGATGTCCAGACCCAGACTCCAGGCCGCATTCCGTCATCACGGAGGGCTGATTCAGGAACTAACAGAACGGTGCCAGGGGCGGCAGACGAGGACGGCTCGCACGACACAGGAGTGGGTGGGTGGTCAGGGCTCGGGAGGCTGCGCTTGCTCCTTTTCCCTAAAGAGCAATTGGTAGGCTGCCTAGACCCATCACACGCCAGGCAGGACCACACATCTATCTGTATCGGCCTGGCCATGCAACTCTCACGCGCCTCCTGGCCAGGTGAACACGGCTGGCTCGAGGTTGGCGAGCGGCAGACATGAACGCCCAGGCACAGGGCACAGGGCCAGACCAGGCTTCAGACTCGGCTGCAGGGCAGTCTTCAGACGCTTTTCAAACACTAAACACACTCCCCACTGACTGCCTCTTCCACCTATAAGAAATGTGTGTTTTAAGGAAACCCAATTCAAACCCTCCCTCATTCAGACGGCCTCTCCCCAGCTATTGGTCCCTTGCCAAAACCTTCTTTGTCTCTGCGTATCTTCCACTGAACTGACAGTTTTCATTATAAAGGCATAAAAAGTTCAAATGCTTCAAACACTAAACACACTCCCCACTGACTGCCTCTTCCACCTATAAGAAATGTGTGTTTTAAGGAAACCCAATTCAAACCCTCCCTCATTCAGACGGCCTCTCCCCAGCTATTGGTCCCTTGCCAAAACCTTCTTTGTCTCTGCGTATCTTCCACTGAACTGACAGTTTTCATTATAAAGGCATAAAAAGTTCAAATGCTATTTTAGAAAAAAAAAAAAAAAAAGGCCCTTTTGCCGTTTATTCCACGGCATTGGAGACTTTTTGACTAATACGGCCACAAAGAAGCCGCCAGTGTTCTGATGATGTGGTAATATCCTAAGGCTTAAAAAAAAAGAAAAAAAAAAAAAAAACACGTAAACGGGGAACTTCAAGAAGTTCATGGAAACCAGAATTAAAAGAGTTCATTTCAGCATGAAAAATTTTGAAATCCATGCATAATTTTCCGTAATATACATTTTTATGAACTTTTTGAACACCACTATACTTACGAGTGGTACTTTTTTTTTTTTTGGAGAGGTTTTTGCTATAGGGTGCGTGCGCTCGCCAGACAGACAGAGAGAGACATAGAGACAGAAAGCGAGAAATCACCCCCCAGGGGGGATGGTCACGCCGCAATCCCTTCTCCTCCATTCTCCTCTCGGGATCTTGGGCACGTACGCACATGCGCCCGGCGTGAGTTTTAAGCCACCAGGTCCGGGATGTGAACCGCGGTCGACTACGTGGGAGTCCAGCGACATAGCCATTACGCTAACTGCAGGTTCCCACGAGTGGCACTTTTTAACTGACCCACATGCACCCTTTTGTGTTAGATGAACACTATGGAGATGATCGGAGGGAAGAAGCCCCACCTCGCCGTAAATGCACAGCCCGCACTCACAGAGAGGGCGCCGTGCGACCTGCAGTCCGAGACCCCGCACCACACCGTGCAGGTTCTAAGCAGTTCCACCACCTGAGAAGTCGGCCGTGCCAGAGCGCCGACCTTGCCGGAAGCGCTCCCATGTGAGGGTGGCCCTGGGTGCGCCTGCCCTGCAGCAGTGTCGTCCTGCACAGCCAGCCAGACCAGAGGGATGACCGTCCCACACCTAGACTCACCACCGCTCCAGATGCATCGCTCGTAACTGTTCCGGGTCCTTTGGGGGGAACATGGTGGGCCGAATCTGGGTGTGTCTGCTGTGAGGAACATCATTCCAGTCCACGAACCACTGTCCATCCTTCGTCATTACCTGCAGGACAGGAGGGCAGGCTCCTGGAGTGCCAGTACCACCTCACAGGACGCAGCTCAGACACGACCGCTCTCGCCAACGCCAAGACGGTGAGCAGAGAGAAAGCAAGACCTCCCATCACATGTAACCCGTGAAAGACGAAGAACGAAATACGCTCATTCCAGAAACCAGGGCAACCATTGTAAAGGAGAACGTTTTCCATGTAGGTTTTGCTTTGAAAATAAACATCAGACTGTTTCTAGCCTAAAACTACAAAGAGAACTGGTTCACACTGGAAACAAAGCCTGACTCTCAGATTATAAAGACAGGGCAGAGGGGCCAGGAGGTGGCGTGGTGATTAAGATGCTCAATTCCCACGCAGTCAACCACAGTTCAAGACCCAGACTGGCAGCTTGAAAATCACACTGGGAGAGGGTGCATGTGTGCCCAAAATCCCACGGGGAGAATGGAGAAGGGATTGCAGTGTGGCCATCCCCCTAGGGGGATGATTTCTCACTTTCCTTCTTACTGCCTCTCTCTCTCCAGCAAAAACAAACAAACAAACAAAAAAAAACAAACTTTAAAAACAAACAAACAAACAAAGAACGGCAGAACTACACTTTACACTTACAGGGACGAGGATAACAGTGCTACTTTCTGCATGTGAAATAAAGGCATGAAAACTTTCCCGCTACCACAGGAAAACACCTGTGTAACCCTGCCACCTGTCATTGAACATACACTGGAAGGTGAATCTCAACTGCATGAGCTGATGCGATGTTTACTTAGGCTGCCCAAAGGTGAAGGCCTTGACGTCTCCATGACGGAGTCCACAGCTGCTCCCTACCTTCTGCATTAAGGGCCTTGCAGTGCTCACCTTCCACTGTGTGATTCCCGGCATCCACTTCAGACCTGGCAATTCGGAGGACACGTCGGCGAGCTCCAGGGCGCCTGTGGAGAAAGGAGGGGATGAGGCATGGCACGTTGTGCCCAAAGAGAGACACTGGACAGCAAGGGCCACGCACGTGACCCCACGCCGGCAACGGCAAGGCCCGCGAACCTGTGGAAGACAGCAGGTTAGAGCACAGCTCCAGGGTGGGAGGGATGATGTGTGAGGGGTATTCAACTGGGCAAATTTACTAAAAATGACCACACTGTCCGCTCACAAGCAAGGAACTGTTACCTTAGTAACTATAGCTCAAGGAAGCTGCTAACGTAGAAAGGCACTGCAGAGCCCCCCAGGAAAGGCGAGATGAACTCCACGAGGCTGACAGCCCTGTGGCAGTGCCAACCTGGGACACACGAGGCTGATGGCCGTGGGACAGAGCCAACCTGGGACACACGAGGCCAATGGCCCTGTGGCAGTGCCAACCTGGGACGCAGACGGCCTGATCCCTCCCCTCATTCTGGACACACCACCAAGACGATTCGGGTCTGTGTGTCATTATGTCTAATGCATGCCCCGGAACCAAAAAGCAACATTTAAAATAAGCCATGGACGTTCTTAAGAACTCAGTTTTTAGACCAAAGTAAGTTTTCTAAAATTGCCCATCAGGATGCAGCCAGTCCACTTCTAGACAAGGGGCCATGTAGTGAAAATACACCCTCTCTGGGACCAGCAGTTAGCATAATGGCTATGTCAGTGGACTCCCATGTTGTCGACCGGGTGGCTTAAACTCACACCCTGTGTGTGTGCGTGCATGCCCAAGAACCCGAGAGGAGAATGGTCAAGGGATTGCGGCATGGCCATGCCCCCTGGGGGGTGACTTCTTGCCTTCTCTCTCTTGTCTCTCTCTGTCCTTCTAGCAAACGCAGGCGCCCTACAGCAAAAACTTCTCCAAAAACAAGAAAAAGAAAATACACTCTCTCCACAAGTGTCTACAGTAGCCGCACTGCTAGCAGCTCCCAGGTAGGGCCAGCTACTACAGAGCAGAGACTATGGCGGCGTCACGGAAACGTGAACGACTATAAACACAAAGCAGAACACGCCCCAAGGTGGACGTGTGACAGCAGAACGCTTTGATGCATGCTGGGGTTGAACGGTGAAGAGACAAAAGGCTACCTGTGCAGACCGACCCCCTGTGGGGGTGACAAGTCAGGTCTGAGACCTCCCTGAGCCCACCAGGCACACACATGCCCATGACCCAGGGCTGGGTAAGGCTGGGGCACTGCAGCATCAGGACCCTGGTGGGTGCTGTTTGTTTCTCGGTCTCTTACTCGTGGAAGAAATCTAAAACATTATTTAAAAAAAGATCATTTTACCCAAGCATCCTGTTGACTTCTGCCATAGTTTCTGACCATTTTCCCTCTCAGGAGCTAACACTACATGACGCCGCAGGAGAAATGGTCTTCCCCATCACACGCGGCCCAGGGCCCTCAGCAATGAGCAGAGCTGGCCTGGGGAACGACCTCCTACAGACCTGGGCTAGCGGCTGCCCTTCCTCCACTTCCGGGTGGAGAGCACCCGCCCTCTAGTCCCAGGGGTCGGCCGAGGTGGGCGCATTGTGGAATGAAGTCCCCGCTCACACAAGGTCAAGGGGAAGCGCTTCGATGCAGCCTGGAGGCAGCCCCGCGAAGCAAGGCGGCCGTGACGTCACCGCGGACAACTGAGAGCTGGCCATCCCAGGGGGAGGCCAGCCAGCCTCTGAGGCCCAGGCAGCCATGCAAATCCCGTGCTGAGAGCACACAGCCAGGCTTCAGCTCAGACCCCGACCCTGTCTACCTGAGACGGGCGGGAACGGGGGACGCCCACGATCCTGAGCAGCCAGAGGGTGGGGACGGGCACCCAGGGGTGACCAGACCCTGCTCAGGACGCTTCCCCTGCCCCTTCAGTGAGCGCATGCGCTATCCCGAGTGGAAGACAGAACTGCACGGGGGAGGCTGAGAAACCGGCTGCACCTACCTCCTCCTGACCTCTGTCACCCAGGCTCCCCGTGAGGCCTAACTGGTGAGGCCGAGAAAAGCACAGCCCAAATCCAGAGCGACACGAAACCCTTCAGGATGGTGGAGATGAGGACACACCAGAACCAGTGCAGTCACTCCGAGGGAAAGGGTCTGCAATTCTTTTCTAACTCAGCAGGTCCTCATACTCGGAACCGACTGGCCGACAGCACCTCTGCTCCTGGAAACCTGGAGGCAGAGCCCACACCAGGCATCTCCCCGGGCCCCCGGCATTAGAAGGGTGCCAGTTGAGTGAAGAATCTGATGAACACTCCCTTCTCTGCACCTCCGTGCTGTACAGGGCAGTGAGCACTGAAGGACAAAGCACAGCACACGAGCCTGGCACCTCCGGGCCTGCGAGGAAGGTCGTGCAGGCCGATCATCGTCAGCTCTAGGAGCAGGAAGGACACGACACTGGCCTTGGCTCGGGATCTGAACAGGGAAGGTCTCAGCGGGCTCTCGAGAGCCATCCTCCCACTTGCAGATACACATGCAGAGACAAGGCCGGGTGTTGTCTGGGAATGCTGTGGGGTCTGAAAAAGAGCCCATCAAGTGCCCCTTGGGAACACTGCTAATACCAGTAAGATCCTGAATGCGTGGAAGTGAACAAGCCAGTGTGAGAGCCAGAGAACCATGGAAACCCACAACCAAAGCAGGTTTCAAACAGGACCTGCCCATCAGCGCCACAGGGCCCTTCCCAGGCCCGGCAGCACGTCTGCTTTCTTCCTCGAGAGCAGCTCTTCCCCACGCTGCCCAGGCTGTCTCTCGCTACCGCTAGCCTTTAAACTGTGCACGTGTGAGACTGCTGACGCACCCACACGGGCTGCTGAGTTCTGAGAACGACACTTCCTGCTGCAGCTGTGAAGAAACCCGTGGGCCTAAGATCGCGAACACGCTTCAATCTACTTGTCGACGACACCCTCTTCCTCAGGCTCTCCCTCAAAGCTGGATCGCTCAAGAAACACAACAACGCAGAAAGCACACAGAGCTCAAGGTGAGTCACCTGACCCTATTCGACAGTCATGGAGCGGCAGGTTTGCTCTGCACAAGGACAAAGGTGACACTCAGTTAGGCCCTAAGAGGTGGGGCAGCAAGCCCTGCCGGTGCCACCCAAGCGCACACATGACAGCAGACTCAGGGCAGGAAGAGCCTTTCCCACCTAAGTAAATAAGAGCTTTGCTTTCCAATCACAAGCTTAAAACAGAAAAATGAACAAAATTTGCAGAAGGCTGGGCAACAGAGACTTAGCAAGGAAGTTCAAATGGTTAAAGAATCTACAAAAACTTTTAAGGTAAGCAGTACCAGATGGACCATGGCTATAGGGCACATGCGCGTGCCAGAGAGACAGAGGAGAACCGAGAAATCACCCCGCCCAGGGGGAATGGCCACGCTGCAGTCCTTTCCTTCACTCTCTGGCGACTTTGGGCATGCACACACACACAACCGGCCTGAGTTTCGAGCCTGTAAGTCCAGAACTTGAACCTTGGTCGGCCATGTAGGAGTCCAGTGCCTTACCCGCTACACCACCGGCTGACCCAGGGCCTGGTATGTTTTCTTAAGCTGCCAGGTCCAGGACTCAAAGTGCGCTGTCAGCCATGTGGGAACCAGCCGCCTCTCTAAGCATGTTTTTAACTAGGCTGTTTCATTTTCAGGGTTATCTTTACACTCGCATAAGCAGACACTCATAAGCGGATGCTCAGGGAATGGTCCATAAGACTTCAAACCAAATAAGAAACATTTCTGAAAAGCACATACTTGGCCGAAAGGAGGGTCAGCATGCTCACCTTCGCTTTTCTCCAGTAACGATGCTATGACCGCCTCGTCCTCAATGGGGTTGAGTGAGCACGTGGAGTACACCATCCGCCCCCCCTCCGCAAGCTGCTCGACACCTCGGGTCGCAATCCTCAACTGTAAGCTAAGGGCAGAATGTGGGGTTACTCAAGGCCGAGCCTGCCAGACCACAGGTGCAGAGACTAAAGTATGAGTCTACTTTGGTGCAAGAAATATTGAAATCTATGCATGAATTTTATAACACTTGTAATTAAAAAAAAAAATCTAAAAGTCTAAGGGAAGTTAAATTTGCTCATTAAAAACCATCTGTGTCAATGTTTTTACTGTAAACCAGTGTCCCAACGAGTAAGCGTTAACATTGATCTGAATTCAACATATTAGATCAATTCACTACTAAAAATCCTCCATACTTGCACAAACAGTTGATTTTACATGCAAAATTTGTATCCTTTCATCTTTTCTAGTCCTGATTTGTGACTCTGATTCACAAAAGCAGGAGTAAGTACACAAACGAGAAACAAAATCTTCTGGAGTTAACTGTGGTGACTAGCCATTAGTACAGTTCAGATCGCCCACAGTTCTACACTGAAACGTGTAATCTTTAACGTTAAATGAGAAGAATACGAAGTTGTATAAACAATACAATCAGAACTATCAAAAACATGTACTTGAAAAAATCTCAAACAGAAAAATACTACAATATACCAAATGTTAACAGAAGTCACCAATGCGTAAGGTTTTCTTTTCCTTTTGAAAAATTTCCCAATTTTCCTTCTTTAATTCTGCCAGAGGGTACATGTGCTTGCCAGAGACAGAGAGGGGGAGAGCACCCCCCACAGGGCATGGCCGCGCCACAATCTCTTCCCCTCCACTGCTCCACCCTGTTGGGACTCGGGGCACACATGCACTCATGCCCAGCATGTTTTCCAAACCACTGGGGCTGAGATTTGAACCACACAGCCAGCTATTCCAAAAACCACCTATTGTAATGTTTTTACTGTATCCTTTCATACTTTCTAGTCCTAATTCTTGACTCTGATTCACAAAAACTAGCTCCTTTAACCCCTCGGCCATAGGGCTGATTCTACAAATCTTCTTTAATGAGCATTCTTTCTATCATACGAAAGCTGATAACCAAAAGACACTTCTAATAGTTGTCTTAAATGCTAAGCAAAGTAACACAAAACAAAAAAGACATTAAGAGATAAGTGGTCATTTCATGGAATAAATGTTTCAAATGTTACAGGAAATTTTTATATAAGTTACTTACCCATGTAGCTGCAAGCTGTTTAAGGTGGTCCACTTTTTCCAAACATCAATATTTTTTCTCATAGTGCCATCTCCACTAGAAAAAAATATATTTAAGAACTTAAAACTACACAGGGATATGATTATTAAAGTTTCACAGAAGTGTAATATTCAAGCTAAGTTACAAAAGGGGTACTATTATAAATACCACTTAGGAAACAATCTGAATTCTCAGTTACAATCAGCTTACTTTTTCTGTTTTAAGAATACTCCAATAAATAATACTTTTACATTATTCTTTAATTTTCCAACAAAAAAAGAAATAATAGATTTGGACAGGAAACCTCATTCAACAGCCAAAGAGACATTGTTTCCATTTGGGAGGAACATTAGCAAAACTACTTTGCAGACCTAGGACACAGAAGTTTTTATACTGACATCCAGAAACTTAATCCACAATGACATTTTAATCAGAAATGAATAATGTGCATTTACACTCATAAAGGATTTCCCACAGCTAATCAAATTTAGTCAAATTAATTTGTCAAGCATGTTCTATAATCATACTTAAGTATTTCTGTCCTTTCACTTTAATGAAAATTACCTCCACGTCTACTTCACTAATCTGCCTACACCCAAGTTCATCCACTTGGTTCCCAGCTGACTCCTGCTTCTGCCGACTCCCTCTGTACTTACTTTCCCTGGGTGATCTCGTCACCAGCCTGCGAGAAAGATCCCGCAGGACAGAAATGTCCTGGGAGATGTAATTGCTACTTCCGAATGACATCCCCAGCCATACACTGGTGGCTGGTACGGTGGAATACCATGATTGTCAGGTTCCTTGGGCTTGCAACCTACTGCTCAGAAAGCCACTGCATTCTCACATGACACAAAACGTGACTTGTATTTCTGACCAAAAGAACCCGGGGTGTGAAAAGATGTCGAGACCCCAGGGAAAATCAGAAAAACGGCACCCTAGGAGAAAGGGAATTCAGTTCATTACCTACTTTAATGTTCACTGTAAAGAGAAGTTTCTCAGGCATTTTAACACTTGGTCATGTTCAGTGTTAGAGCCCCAACATTCAAACGAGGCTCTACAAGCAGTGACTGCGGCTTATGCAACAAAATGGAGTCCTCTAAAACAAGGCATCGTGTTCACACGCTGCGCTCAGTGCTAACGAGGTTAGTTGGCAGTTTATGAACTCTGGCCTTGATGCGTTTTAAAATGTAGGAAAACATTAACACGTGGGATCAGTGTCCCTGCGCTGCTCTGAGACCCGGGCAGACGTGTTCAGGGGTGCTTTCCCTTTCCTTTGCTTCAGCTATGCCATGGAGGTATGAGGAGTTTCTCCAAGGCCTGAACTTCCCAAATTCCCCATGGAAGTAAATAAATGTATTATTCTATGGCACACTCACTGTGTGCAGAATAACCTGAAAAAACTCAATGCACGAACTGTTCCAAGAAATAACATCCTGAAATATACGAGAGTTCAGATCTTTGACTGCTTATCAAAGCCATTCCTCTGTGTCTGCTCTGTACCCATGTCTGCCGTGCTGTTACCACGAGAACACTGAGCACCCACTTTGATCTGGGCTCCTGATGTCTCTTCTCCACACCTGCTCTAGGATCCCACATGAACTCCACGTGTTCATTCACATAGGCTTCATTTTGGTCTACATTTGGTTTGACTGTTGGCAGACTTGGGGCGCTCTGACTTAATAATTAAATACCTGCAAGGCACATCACATAAAACTCTGTCATAGAAGAGTGCCTCCTTCCTTCCGTCCACGTCGATCATGAGCCTGGGTATGCAGGACGCATCGTGGTTGACCACCATGATGCAGGGGCTGCTCAGTCTTTTGGCTTGATGAACGAGCAGGTAGCAACGCTTGTTGTCCACATCGTTAGCAATAACGAAGCCCTCTGGGAACATAAAATTGTAGTGTCAGGTGAAACGCAGCATTAAGTGGAATACTCTCCCCAAATCCACAACCTCTAGCAGGCAAGAAGCAGAGATCCACCACATTCAAGACAAGTCAAGATTTTCCTAGCAATAGGTAAGGGTCCATAAATAGAAACCAGGTGGTACTGCGTGGACACTGCAAACACTTGAAACTGAAGATTCATCTGTTGGACAATTACCTGCTTTGTACCAACTACTGAGCCAAAAATGCCTTTTCTATTGTTAGTAACTATTAATTAAAAGTCGGGTGAGGAGACAGGCACAGAAAAAAACAGAATTACCTGACAAGTGTTTTAAACTGTGTGCTGGAGTCCCACTCCAGACTGACTTGGACTCTCAGGGAGTGAAGTGTTTGCCCTGTAAGCTAGCCCTGGCTCCAGTGGACCCACAACCCTGCTGGAGGCTGGCTAGGCACTACCTGGGCTCTCCTCTACTTCTCTCCCATCCCCAGCAAACCAACAGACATGCCTAACAACAATACCAAGGTCACTCTGCAAAAACTAACAAAACACAAAACATCCACCACAGAGAGGGGAAACCACTCCTGCTGGGGCACCAGGGCTCTTTTCTACCCACTGAGAGAAAACCATTAAACGTGGAAGGAGGAGGAAGGCCTTTTAGTTAAAATATCATCTTTGAATAACATAAAAGGACTTAAAATAAATAAATAAACAAATAAATGTGCCCATTAAAACAGAACTAGAACAGGTGGCTCAAAGACAGAAGGATGCGATACAGGTTGGACCTCACAAGCCTGAGGACATTGATTTTCACTCCTCAAACGAATCCCGGTAAAGGCGCCTGAGTGACCACTCAGCAATCTGTAACATGTCTGCAAAGTAAGCGCTGGTATTTCATGTCACCATCACATAGCTCGCCATTGAAGAGTGGTGGGATTGGAACTTAGGAAGTCTGACATCAGCTCTTAACGACTATATGCTGTCTCTCACATAGAGCAATGAGAAAAAGTAGGGAAGAGAAATCTACTACTACTGAAAATTCAAAGCATGAAGTCTATCTACTATAAGTAAATTTGAAAAACAAACAGTTACGTTTTATGTGTAAACCTTTTGTTTACACGTAAATGTGAATACCACTTATGTTTTTACACATAGTTTTAAATGAAACCCCTTCTATCTGAGTATGCTGGTTTCAGTACTGACGACAGTGTGCAAAAATATCTACTATCTACATTTGGTAGATTAGAAAACCCACCTGCTCCCACAGGGGACCTCAGCACAATTAACAGGCAAGGTTGGGATCTTTTGAGGATCACTGCTGATCAGAATAGCACTCCCACCTTTCCAAAAACAAGCCCAAGGCATACCTGGAAAAGGGACATTCATGTCAGCATGCAGCATTTCGATCAACTGCGTGGTCTTGGAGCCAGGGGCTGCACACATATCTAAGATCTATCAATAAAACAAGACAATGTTCTGTGTCTTTAGAAAACCAAATATCCTATATTGCATTTAAAACAACTCGAGTCAGTCTAGTACTCTGACTTCTGATACCTGAGCATATCTCCTTCCAGGAGGAATCTCTAGCATAACAAACATTTTACTCACAGGGACCCACAATCACACAACGAGGGCAATCGGCAGAGGGGATGGGAACAGAAGGGCACGAGATCAAAGCAACCCCTTTAGAGAGGGTAAGTCGTATCACAATGCCAGGGGACAGAGCTACCAGAGCAGACTCAGCTCTGGAACCCAGGGCCACTCCTTTACTTCCTCTGCTTTCTTCTTCATCTGGAAAAATGGAAACATTGGGTTGTCGGAAAAGTCATGATGCATTTTGCAAAAGATGCTGCTAGTTCATCTTGGGAAGTACTAGTCACTCACACCCATGTTACTACATGTCATGTGACAACCAACAGTTCCAGCTTCATTTTAATAAAACCTTTAGCCACCTGGTTGAGTTTGAAGATTTTACAAGACACTGAAGATGGAACACCAACCTGGATTTTGGCCACATTTTACTGTTTTACTTCTGTAAAGGGAGAGCGTGCGTCACGCTTGTGCTAAGTTGCGCAGTTTACGGTGACAGTGCTCTACAGTAATGTCAGCGCCAATGATGCCTCACGACATCCCGTACTGGGGATTCTGACCTCAACGACGCTCCTTGGTCAGGGAGGCCCACCGAGGTGGATGGTGACAAAGTGAGGGCGCTGGTGGAGTCAAACCCACGGTACACGATGTGAGAGCGAAGAATCACTGAACGCCCATCATTCGAGCACTCGTGAGCACCCGAAGAAGCTGGGAGACGTAAGGACACCTGACATCTGGGTCCCTCAGAAACTCCAAGCTGTTCATTTGCAGGCGCGTAAGTATCTGATATGCTCATTAAATGTGAGAAAAAGATCCGTTTTGAAGTAATGGATAACTGGTGATGAGAAGTACGCTGTTTACAACATGGGCACAAACGGTCTTGGTCCCAACGCGACCATTCGCCTCAAATGGTACCAAGGAGGACATTCGGCAGAGGACGGTGATGCTCTCAGTGTGCTGGGATTTTAACGGTGTCATGTTTTTCAAGCTGCTATCAAGAAGCCAAACAACTCGAATGCACTGTTGCCAGCTGGAGAGTTTGAATCCGTTACCTAGAAACACCCAGAACCCGTCGACTGTAAAAGAGCAGTGCTCCATCACCACAGTGAGACCTCACACGGGTTTCATTACCTGTCAAACACAGTCGCAGCCTGGACGGGATGTGCTGCCACACCCACCATCCTCCCCTGACCCTGCACTACCAGACTCCCGCCTGTCTCACTCCCTTCTGAACTCCTTGCGTGGTGAAACGCTCAATACGGACGAGGCTATAAATCAGCATCTTGTTCAGTTTTTTGCTGATAAAGACAGGTACTTCGATGGACGAATAATTATGAAGCTCACTGAAAGACGGCAAAAGGTTGTAAAATAGGCAATATATCACTGATTGATCTTTGTTCCTTATGTAAATAAATGGCCTTTGAAAAACAGAAAAATACATGACTTTTCTGACAACCCAATAGTGTCTACCCTTCGAGGCGGTATGAGTGAGCAGTCGATGCAGAGGAGGGCGACCATTGGGATATGAGCTCTCCATACATGTCCACTACGATCTTCCATTGGATTTAGCCAATCAAAATCATTGACATGCAGTAAACAGATGAATAAACTTTAAAAGGGAAAAAACCAGTTGTCTAAATTATTAAAGTTAAATACAACAAAAGGAGCCAGCAGGGAAATGCTGAGCTCACTCCACGAGGGTCCACGTGGGAAGGAGGTTCCAGGTTCAAGTACACAGGGCACACTCATGGCCATGGCCCAGGCTGGCTGAAACGGGGGGTAGAAGCCACATCAAGACCCTTTTCAAGATCCCTGCATGAGTGCTCTCTCGAGCTCACAGAGGAAGTATGCTAAACTGAAGTCTGAGTTTCTCTAAGCAATAAAAATGATAAACACACAACAAACCACCTAAAATAAAGACACACATATATAAAATAAATGTTACATGCACACACTACATATACTGCATACACGTATAATGTATCATAATATATATTACATCATTTTTTACACAGACTAATGACACTGAGTAACGAGCAGTTTCAACAGGACAACAGACACTGCTACCTTATGGTGCGGCTGGACACTCAGCAGCAGCGGGGGGATCATGCTGACAGCTTCCTGCCGACTGATGTTGCCCTTGGGGACAAAGCAGCAGCAGTGGTTAATAAAACAGGATTCCCTCGTGAGCGTCATTCCAAACGCAACGGAGAAAGACCAAACCACCCTACACAGAATGAAGCATCTGCATGCTCACGTGAGACATTAAAGGGAGGCAGCGTGCTATCCCAGTGGGCAGAGGACTGCATTCCTAGGGACGATTCAGGATGACTGTTAATACAAAACTTACCGTCAGAGTATTACGGTTCAGGGTATCAGTGGCCCTAATTGAAAACAGGGATCTTGGGGCCAGAAGTGACGTGATGGTTACAGCGCTGGATTCCCACATGGCTGAAGTTTGAGCCCCAGATCTGGTGGCCTGGAGACCACACCAGTGCATGTGTGCAAATCCCCAGAGGAGAGTGAAGTAGAAGCTGCCGGGTGGCCACCCACCCCCTCCCTGGGGGTGATTTCTCACCTCCCTTCCTCTAACCCTATCCAGTAAGCACATATGCCCTATGGCAAAAACCTAAAAGAAAGGAACAGACAGGGATCTTAAGCTTCTGTGGTCTAACTCCCTGCCTCGAAGGCAGAGGGCGGATGAGCATCCTTGGAGGCAGGTGTGCGGCTGAAGAACCTCAGAAGCAGGGACAGCACAGGAAGAGGTGGCCTTTCCCTCCGCACTGAGATCCCAGCCTTGACGCCGTCCTCCTGTTTCAGGATAAGCCATGTGCACTTGATACTGCCCATAACTGCCTCTCAGAGGTGAAGGCATCACGACTCCCACCTTTCCTTCTTCAGAAAATTGACATCTAAGGTCCCGCCCTGCATCTACCTCCTCTGCATCTTCTCCAGTGGGCCAGGGCACCTGCCAAAACTGTCCAGATTCAGACACAATTCTCCTGATGTAGCCTAGCTCTTCCTCAATCCCAGCTCTACCCTAACAGCTCTGAGCTGGTAAGCACCAGCTCCCACAAAGCATCTGCTGCACAACCCGGTCTTCGTGCTTGAAGTCACCCAGGCAGCCATCAGTCCTTTACCCCGCGCATGATGGGCTCAGCTAACTGCACTTTCACACGGCACCTGCTAGTTTTCACCTGGTGGCTTCTGGCCAGCAGCAAGTCCACGGTGATTATTTGATTCCTGATACTTCACGAGGCATGGGGATCCCAGCTCTGGCTGTACGCATGACCGATACGCCTGCCTTCTGCTTTCAAGGAAAGCAGTAGGTAGGACGAGGACTCCAAGCCACAGATATCCCAGCACGAGTCACTTGGAGGTCTACACTCCAGAGAGGCTCTGCAGCCAGCCTTGCATGGCCCGGAGCCATCTCCGTCATCTCGAGAGCTCATCACACTAACTCCTGATCAGAAACCCGTGCTGGTTCCTCACAGCATACACGGAGCACCTACGCCGCCCCCTGTACGAGATGCCACCATTGGGCTCTTCACATACATGCAGCTGAGCACGCTATCCCTGTGAACCCTGCCTCCACTCGCTGAGCCTGCCTGTACTGTCCCTGCCAGTCTGTCCACCCCAGCTGGAATCCACCTACATTAAAAACAGAGCAGGGAACTCTGCCACAGCACAGAATGGGGTTTGGGGGTCACACTTAGTCGGTGTCACTGGCTAGGGAGGAAAAGCCAGACTAACGAGTCACCTACAGAGAGAAAGCCGCACTGTCTGGAAAGAGTTGTGGAGTAAGCCTAGAAACCAACGAGGTGAAGGGCCTGCAAATTCAGTAAGGCTTCAGGGAAGAAGTGTGGAAAGCACGGTTTCTCTAAGTGCAGAATTAAAATGAAATGGGCAGGACACAGAGGCTTACCAGGCTAGAGAGAAGTGAACTGCAAAACAGAAGGGGGAATTCTGACTAAAATTCCCTAAGAATAAAAAGGGAAGAGGAAAGCGTACAATACCCAACCTGATGGGCAGCCATTTAGTCACCCACTACTAAATAAGTAACAGCTATTTTGTTGGGGATGGACTGATGCTAAAAGGTAAGCGGTTCAGTGACTGAACTGTACTCAAGGAATGTGAGGTGGCAAAGGAAACAGGAAGGTGAAGGCAGATATCCCACCAGAGCCAAGGTTATACTTAGGTTCTTCACTCTGGGGGCGGGGGGCAAAGGCAGAGTTAAGAGTAAAGTGTGGCAAGAAAAAAAAGCATGACAGTAAAGAGTGAAGTCAGAAGTCTCAATCTGGGACAGCCTTTGGCATTGTGACTCCATATGACCAATAGCAAAGTTTAAGTCCCAGACCTGGTGGCTTAAAAAATGCACTGGGCATATGAGTGTGAGGAACCAAAATCCTCAAAGAGGGAGAGACAGAGGATGACCATGCGCCCAGGAAGGTGTGTGTGTATGTGTGTGTGTTTTCTCCCTAATAAGTACACATGATCCCTGGCAAAAAATAAAGGTTGCATTGTAATAAAGATATTTTTATTTATTTAATTAATTTATTATTTTTTTAAAAAGGCAGGCATGTGGAATGTGAACCTAAGAAAGGAATGAGAGAAGACGAAGCAGCTGAGTCCTGCATGACACCCTACTGGCCAAAGCATTCTGCTCACTCCAATTCTGAAGCCACCCAGGTCCAGACCTAAGAGCAAACAACAAATCACACTGACAACCATGACCCCAGGTAACAGACACACACACAATCAGAAACTAAAGGTGGTGCGCACACAGGGTCTTTACCATGGGCCTCGTCCACCTGTCACGCTCAGTGCACCGACAGCTCTAAAGAAACTAACATGCCTAGAGACATCTACTTACAGACTCAGTTTCGCTGACCAGAAACTGATGGAACTTTTCCAATTGTGGTGACTTCCTCAAGATTTTTCGACTTAAATTTGTGTGCCAGGCAAGTTCTTCAGGATACCTGACCAAGAGAGAAGCGAAACATCTGTAAGTTGTTGTACTAAACTGCTCTTTCAAAAATGTATTGCATATACAGGTCATTTACCAATCGAGACACCTCGTTCTGTTCTACTTGGTATCGAGGGCATTGAAAAAAAAAAGAAAGAACAAGAAAATGAATTTTTTAAAGTACAGATCACACGGAACCAAATAACACAGATGGGCAAGAGTCAGACAATTTGACAAACATTTGATTAGGATTTTTAAAATATATAGATTTTCCTATTTTTAAAACAAGTTCAAGAACATACTGAAATGCCGTTCTTGGAACCAGCAGTTAGCGTAATGGCTATGTCTCTGGACTCCCATGTAGTCAACCGTGGTTTGCGGCCTGAACCCGGTGGCTTAAAACCCATGCCGGGCGCGTGTGCATGCGTGCCCAAGATCCCGAGAGAATGGAGGAGAAGGGACTGTGGCGTGGCCATCCCCCCTGGTGGGTGATTTCTCGCTTTCTGTTTCTCTGTCTCTGTCTGGCGAGCACACGTGCCCTACAGCAAAAACCTCTAAAAAAAAAAAAATGCCTCTCTCTGGACACTGGAGGACTGTGGCATGGCCACACCACACCACCCTGGGGAGTACCCCCACAACCAGGAGCACACACACACCCTCTGGCAATTAAAAACAAATAAATGGGGGTAAGCAACATAGATATAACTTGGAACAAACAGCACCTTAAGTGCCTTACAGATCAAATTTCAAGTATTAAAAATTTAAGTAGGCTATTACAAGATTAAAACCCCGCTGTAACTGTGACTATGACTGCTGCTGATCTCATGAACAAAAATTTCAAGAACTTTCAAGTAATTGGGAACCAGCAGTTAGCGTAATGGCTATGTCGCTGGATTCCCACGTAGTCGACCGCGGTTCGCGTCCCGGACCCGGTGGCTTAAAACTCACGCCGGGCGCATGTGCTTGCGTGCCCAAGATCCTGAGAGGAGAATGGAGGAGAAGGGATTGCGGCGTGACCATCCCCCCTGGGGGGTGATTTCTCGCTTTCTGTCTCTATGTCTCTCTCTGTCTGTCTGGCGAGCGCACGCGCCCTATAGCGAAAATCTCTCCAAAAACAACAACAACAACAAAAAACCAACTTTCAAGTAATTAAACATAAAAAAGGTGAACAGTGAAAATAAAAGTTTCTATTACACAGTTCTAGCAACTTCAATTTTTTTTAGCCGACAAATGTCTTTTAAGAATTTTTGTCGATTTTAATACCAAATGAAATCATCTAAAATAACTATAGTTTTTAGTTCATTTGAATTTAGCTCATGAAAAACATGTTAAGAAAAAGTTATACCTGAAATTCCTTTTTTGCCAAAGGGCATGCATGATCACCAGAGTCAGAGAGGGGGAAAGCACTGCCCACCCCTGCCCCAATGGCAGGGCCACGCCGCAACCCCTCTCCTCCATTTCTCCGTCCTGCCAGGACTACGGGCGCGGGTGCACACGTGTACAGTGTATTCTTCAAGCCACTGGGGCTGGAATTCGAACTGCACAGTCGGCCATGTGCACACCCATTCCCACCACTACCAGGCCAACGGGCCAGCCTGTATTAAGAGAAATTTAAAGCACCCAGTTTCCTTTGAACATCAAAAATTTTCAATGGGGATAACAAAAACTGCAAATATGAGATGCATCTTCAAACTAGACATGAAAAAGCACACAAAATGACAAAAACAGGTATTCTCAACAACTGTCAAAACGAGGCTTTTATTCGGAAAATGAAACCTGCCCGAACTACAAGTCCTATGCACACAACCCTTCTAGAAAAAGCAGCACTACAAAACACTTCCCTAAAATGTGTAATTTTAAAAATCCTTGAGCTGGCCCACAGCCCAGGAGTTAAAAGAACTAGATCCCATAAACAGTTTGTAGCTGCTCATAGTTCGAATCCTGGCTTAGCAGCTTGAAAGGCACACCAGGCGCATGTGCATGCATGCCCTAAATTTCAACAGGCTGGAGAAATGGGGTAGAAGGAATTGCTGTGTGACCACACCCCACTGGGGGTGCTTTTCTCCTCTCTCTGGTACACACATATATCCTCTGGCAATTTAAAACAAATGATTTCGGTTTGGGTATAAATTTTTTTTTATCTATTCTTGTATCTCAAAAGTGCATCCTGTGGGGGTCAACAGGTGGCATGGTGGCCAAGGGCACTGGAATCCCACATGGCCAAGTGTGGTTCAAGTTCTGGATCTGGTGGCTTGCTTACTTACTTTTTCTCTCTCTCACACGCTCTCCCTCTGACCAAATTAAAATACATACATACATAAAGTTAAATAATTTTTTAAAAGTGCATTCTGTGATGACAACACCTGGTTCTGAACTTGGCTGGGTGTTGATTTTAGTGTTCGTCCACCCAGTATTCATTCAAACTGTATATGCTGTGCATGTCTATGATATCTACGCAGAAAATCCAAATGGCCAGTGAAAAAAGCAGGCACATCTGAATCTCATGATTAATGAAAACCTGACCTCGGTTTGCAATCACTACAGGATCTTAAAAAACAAAACAAAACAAAACAAAACAAAACAAGCACTTGAGTAATCCAAACCTCAAGAGTTGCCAGAAAATGCATGTTAAATTCACCCTTTCGTATTAAGTATTTACAATTTTTTTTTAAACTGAAAACTCTCTATACCTTAAAGTTAACCTGAAATACAAAACTACAATAATTTGCTGTAATGATTGTTACACAGATGGGTAAGCTGACCCAGGGATTTATTCCCCGGGTGCATTCGAGTCCTGCAGGCATTTTAGGAAAGACTAGTTTCCGCTCAAGTGATGACCTTTCCACAACCAAGACTTGGACTGGGCCCTTGGAAGAGGAAGCCGCCTAGGAGCCTAGGAGCCACCTCCAGGAACGTAAGAAAGGGCTGTGTTGGAGAGCAGGCGCATGCTAGGGGACTGGACTGCATGGGCCGGGCAGCCTGTGGTGAGCAATTCAAGGGGATAACCTGCAGTCGTCTCTGGTGACCTTTCTCTTTTTACAGAGAGCAGAAAATCATATAGGAAAACCTGCATATGAACACCACGCCCATAAACTGAGTCAAAGAACATCAGGGTGTGTGTAACATACAGGCACACTGAAACTCTTTCATGCTAAAAGCAAATGTAGTACCAAGAAACATATTCAAGGGACGAAGATTAAAATCCCGAAGCAAAATCCAATATGATGAAGCCTTGTGATACCAACCAACTCAGTGGCTGTGGAACTTCAACTTTCTGGCCATCCACCTCCAGGTCCTCCAATTCCTTGAAATACTTATTCTTTAAGCAATGAAGAATCTCTTTCGCGTGGCTGTTGAAAAATAAGCAAGTATAAAACAGACCTTAGAAAGCCCATTTAAGAAATTTATCTTTTTTCTTTGTCTGTTTTTTGCCATAAGAGCATATGCACTTGCCAGAGACAGACCAAGAGGGAAAGTGAGATATCAGCCCCCAGGGGAGATGGCCACACCACAATCCCTTCTTCATTCTTCTCTGGAGATTTTGGGCACACACACCCACACCCAGGCCACTGGGTCCACCGGACCATATGGGAATCCAGCGCCTTAACCACCAAGCCACCTGCTGACCTATCATCTTAAGCCGGCAAGTGTTTACAACTAAAGCCAACCTTGCATGGAGAAGAGAACAAATTTTAGTCGCTGTCTTTTTATCATAGTCCTTCGAAATTTAAGCAATTCTCAACATCTGGTCCCTAAAGTATAATAACAAGCTAAATCAATACTGCAGTCCTTCCTTCTAAACATGCGTACAGTTTCACTTTTATTTGCAACTCATCTTGGACAGATAAACTACAACCGTAGGTGGTTTAAAAAATTTTTAAAAAGACCTGGAGACTTTATACAAAGCCAATGCTTTAAATGCTAACGTTCCGAAAGATATGCTCCTTAGATCAAAAGTACGCAGGAGCCAAACCGTTCTCAAACTGCACTTTCATGTCATTCTAGGCTCCCACTTCCAAGGCCTCCTGGACCCGTATCACTGGACCACCAGGCTTCCTCCTCAGATTTCCAGATCCACACCGCTGAAATGCACCCCCTCCGGCTCTGCAGCGCTTCTCAGAGAAAGCACATCGGGTTTTTAAATTGGGCATCCTCGCCTCACACCTAAAGAAGTAAAAGCACAACTTCTACCTTTTGTAACCAGTGATTCTTAAAGTGGCCGGGAGGGGCTCCCTGAGTGCGCCCATGAACTGGTCCCACTCGCCCTCGGGCACGATCTTGAGCTCCTGGTAGTAGTGCTCGAACAGCTTATTCTCCTTGACGATCTCGGGGTAGCCACCTTCCCAGCCCTAAGGAAAGAGAGTCTCATCAAGGCCAAGAACTCTCGGCCACCACCCCGCAGGCCTAGGGACTCGGGGGCCCATGCGGAGCCCCACGCCTGCCCGCCGCGCCCCGGCTCCTACCGCATCTTTGCGCTTCCCGCTGCCCTCGGTGGCGTCCTCCGCGCCCTCCGGCCGCTCGTGCTTCT